CTAAGTTTCCTATGTGGGACAAGGTTTTAGATACCAACTCATGGGAACCACACAAAACATTTCATGTTTATGAGGCTCACTACGGTATCAATTTCTCATTCACTCGTAAATGGTTTCGACCACCTGAGTATATATTCTTGTTCACCACATGGCAAGGAACGTGTTGCCACTCGGACCCACCCAAATCGAGGTGTGGGACCTACATTAATAAAAGCTCAAATTTACCGGAAATTAATGGTGGAAACCATTTCTCTAACACTATCTGGCCCCGTGGAGCACATCAAGGGTCTTATTTCAATAATTCGAACTGTTTATTTTGCCAAGCATTATGTGTATGTCATCTACACAAAAAATATATTGATTCGATAATCGTGATCTATTTAATTTATCGCGTTTGTCACAATATATATATATACACACTACAAAAAAAAATTAAAGTTTTAGAGACCAAAATTTAGGGGCAAAATTATTTTTTAGAGACCAAATATTTTTGTTGCCAAAAGTGTCGTCATTGTATTTTTAGCAACGAAAATTGGACATTAATGATGAATTATTATATTTTTTGGACCAAATTTTGTCTCAAAATATAAACCATTTTGAGATCAAATTATTTTATCCCTAAAAGTTTATTTATTAGTGACATTTTCAAAAAAATTTCTCTAAAAGCCTTATTTTTTACTTTTTGGGATGACCTTTTAGCGACTATTCCAACGATGATAGAAATTAGTCCCTAAATATTTTTTGTAACAAAATTTTCACTTTTAGAGACCAAAAAATTTGATCTCTAAAATTTTTATATATTGTAGTGATAGTATATTTTTAAAACACAGACAAGTATTTTAAAAATGTGAATTCTCTCCAAACTAAAATCTAAAGTAGGCACATAAGTCATTTTACGAAAGTGGATTACGGTGCCACGTTATTTGGGTTGCAAGAAATTGTACATTTTAGATTGGAGGTTAACCTTCTCCTTAACGTTGTCGTGGAGTTTTTTTGTCAAACATAAGTTTTTAAAACTCAAATTAGTAATGATATAGAATTAGGAGTTGGATTCCCTCAAGATCATATTTGATTCGCAAGACTAATAGTGAAATATTAATAATCCTATTAAATTAGTGTGATATTCACTATCCAATTGGATTAATATCCATTGAATTAATAATTCCACCCTTACCCTATTATTAATAATCCTACAAATTTGTTGAATTAATTATCCATTGGATTAATAATCCTAAACTAAAATGTTAAAACAAACATAGGATAATTGAACCTACGGATTAATAATCTCAATCTCATATTCTAATTCACCCAATCAAACATGCCCCAACGGTATTGTTCAGTAGGGCTGAGCAAGGAATCCGTAAAATCCGTAATCCGATCCAGTCCAGTCCAATCCGATAGGTTTGGATTGGTTTTTCAAATCCGCGGTTCGGTTCCGGATTGAAGAATTAAAAATCCGTAGTACACGGATTGGTTTTGGATTGAACCCCACGGTTCTAGATTGGAACCGATCCGGACCGTATACAAATAGTATATATTTTTATTATACATCCTCCCCCATAGTATCTTCTCTTATTTTATATAAAATCTAAACTCAAACCTAAAACTGTATAATATTTTCTTTTATTTCTTTTGTTTGTTAGTTTTTAATTTTAATTTGTAATGGTTTAAATACTTATGGTGAAACCAGTTTTCTTATGGTTGTTTAAATTCTAGAACAATATGTCGCTATTATAGAAATAGATGTTGCTATTGTGGAACTAATATAGCGCTATGTTTATATTTTTATGAAATTAAAGTGTTATATATATATATATATATTTTTGTTATTTAATTATGTGAATCCGTGGTCCTAAACCGATCCAATCCGTATTTAAATGGATTGGTTTGGATTGGTTCCATGATTTAAACGGATTGGATTGGTTCCAATTTTTCAAGAACCGTAGATAACGGATTGATCCTAATTTTACTCCAATCCGGTCCAATCCGGACCATGCTCACCCCTATTGTTCAGACCCTGGGGCTCATTAGGAATTCCATTTTTTAATTTTTAATCTTGGTTCTACAATTCATTATTTGTTATCTTTCACATTCTCCTAGAAAATGATTTCAATAGAAAATGAAAGAGCCCACAATTCTATAAACAATCAGTCTAACAATCCAGAATTACATACAAGGAAATGACTTAGAACGTAAATAGAGGGTTGAGATTCAAATTTAGTATGATATTTATAATCACACATTCAAATTTTTGGATATAAATTATGAGTTTATAGTGTTTCTCTTCTATAAATTGCAATTGATCTAATGAGTGTTTTGAGCCGTAGCTTCATACAATATTGCATAATCGAATAATTGGAAAAGAAAATTAAAAAAAAATGATTAATGATTAAAACATGTTTAAAACAAATAAATGATTAATGATTAATGAGATAATATAAATGATTAATCAAATAAATGATTAATGATTAATAAAATAAATGATTAAGCCGTAGCTTCACTTATTTTATCATTAAAACATGTTTTTAATGTGAACTCCACCACCGACAGTGACAAAGTTTAATTTATTTTATAAAATATTTGTATAAAAGAATTTTATTTCGTTAAAATATGTTTTTAATTTGAAACTTTACAAAATGAGATCATTAAAACATGTTTTTAATTTGAACTACACCGACAGTGACCACATGTATTTTAATTTGAATTAGCAGCTTTATATAGAAAAAAAAATATATATATATATATATAATTTTATTTAAGATATATCTATCTTACATTTTTTTAAATAACAACTCTTCATTTTTTATATTCTAGTGTCATACAAAACGAAATATAAAAGGTCCAAAATATAGTGTAAATAGATAAAAGTATAATGTAAAAATCAATGTCATAATTTATGAATGCTACCTTTTTGTCAGTTAGTGCTCTAAATCAAACTCAAGATTATTTATATGGAGATCTCTAAGTTATTAAAAATATCACTTTTATATTTTTAAATTATAAAAGTGTATAAATAGATTCTTAAATTATTAAGAAATATTGTTTGACCTCTTAAATTATAAAAGCATATAAATAAACTCTTTAAACTATTAGAGACCCTGCTGTTAGAGGCTCCAATTTGTACATTTTTAAGGCTTGGGGGGTTTATTTATAGGTTTTTATAATTTTAGTAAATTGATAATTCTCAATAATTTAACGAGTCTATTTGTAATTTTTTTTATATTTTAACTAGTTAAAATGATATTTCACAATAATTTAAGGAGTTTTTATATAAATAACTCAAAATAATATGTACAAAAAAAAAATTACAGATGTTTGGGAAGTGACTAATTTAATTAAATTTTTACAAAAAAAGGTGCAAAAAATAGAGAGAAAGTATGTGATTAGGTGTTTTAATTTTTTTTTGTGTGACTATTTTAACCATTAAAATAAATAAATAAATAAATAGAAAAGCACACCCCCAAACACTCTGTAAAAAACATGGGGGAAATTATAATATAAAATCTTTTAAAAAATGTGTACTATATGCATTCTTATGTGTTATTTTCTTTTTTAGTTATAACTAATTTTCGTATTTAATTATAATAATTTTAATTATGATTCACAAATTCTTTGATTATGACTCATGTTATATTTTAATTATGACTGAAAATTAATTATATCATTTTTTTAGTATTTTCCAAAAAGTTAATGCTATGACTACTAAATTTTTTACTAAATAAATGACTAAATGTCTCACATAAATATAGAATTCACACTTTTATAAATCTCATATCCATATAAAACATTTAACCATTCATTTAATAAAAAATTTAAAACCATTCAGCTTGCTTGGTTCCCATTTTTTAAAAACAGTTTTCAGAAAATTTTATTTTCTTATTTTTCGTGTTTTTTTATTTTTACTAAGTTTTTTTAATATTTTATGCAAATTTTTTATTTTTTAGACACACCTAACATAAATACACCTAAAAAGTAAAAAAAATTGTAAAAAAAATCTTTTAAAAATTCACTAAATACCAAAAATACAAAAAAAAATACAAGAATTCAGTACATTTTTTGTATTTTTATATATTTCTTAATTTTTTAAAATATTTTTTCACAGTTTTTTTACTTTTTGGATACATCTAAGTAAGGTGTATCTAAAAAATTTTAAAAAATATTTAAAATTTTAAAAATATTCACTAAAAATAAAAAAAAACACAAAAATCAAAAAACTCAATTTCCAAAAAAACTTAATCTAAAAAACTCAAACCAAACACACTTAGGCTCCGTTTGGCAAGTTGGGTTGGGGGCTTTTTTTGGCTATTTTAGCCACAAAAGACAAAATAGGCTATTTTAGTCACAAAAAACAAAACATCACATCCAACCCATAATCATTACACTCTTCTCTCACAAAAAAAGTCAAAAAAATCAAAAAGTCAAAAAATTATTCCCAAACCAAACTTTTTAGCCCAAACTAAAATAGTCAAAAAAATCAAAAAACCAACTCACCTCCCAAACCAAGCCTTACTAACATTTTCCTTCCTAAAAACATGTGTTTAATTTGAACACGACCACCAACTCCCAGTTGTTATGTGATTTGTCCGATTCTAAACAGAATGAATGTCATATTAACACAACACTAATGCTGTGTTTGGTTGGGAGATTTAAAAAGACATTAAGAAAATGAAATGAAAAAAATAAGTGAAATGTGAATAAATTATGCTTATATTTCACATAGTTTCACACATTTTTTTCCTTTCATTTTCCAAATCCGTCCCCAAATCTCTCAACCAAACACAACATAAGGGTGGTTTGACATGATCTAAATAAGTGTATTTTTTAACTTTTTGTGAAATATGAATTGAGTATAAATTAGATTTAAAATGATGTAATAAAAAAGTGATATGATTTAAATAAAATAATACAATTTAAATAGAATAATAACTTTTTGATTTTTTTTTTTAAAAAAAAACCCCAACAAAGCCTAAACAAATCGAAAAAAATCTTCATAATGATCCCCTCAACTCCTTCAATACTTGATCATTCACTCCACTCTCTCAACCCACTTCAACACCACCACCACCACCACCATGGAAACCCAACCCCAAGAACCACCACCACCACCACAAATAGCAAGAAGATCATACTGGAGATTCAGCAAACAAGACTTCTTCCCTTCCCAATCCTTCCAAAACCTGTCCTCCTACAAAACCTCCCTCTCCCAAACACCACACCGCCTCAAGGACCGCCTCTCCAGCCGCTCCTCCGACTCCACCGAGCTCCTCCACCTCCCCACCCACAGCGAAAACCCCCTCAAACAATGCCTCACTTCCTGGGACCTCATCTGGCTCAGCTTCGGCTCCGTCGTCGGCTCCGGCATCTTCGTCATCACCGGCCAAGTCTCCCACTCCACCGCCGGCCCCTCCGTCCTCCTCTCCTACGCCGCCTCCGGCCTCTCCTCCCTCCTCTCCGTCTTCTCCTACGCCGAATTCTCCGTCGAAATCCCCGTCGCCGGCGGCTCCTTCTCCTTCCTCCGCGTCGAATTAGGCGATTTCATTGCCTTCATTGCCGCCTCCAACATCCTCCTCGAAGCCATCGTCGGCGCTGCTGGACTCGGTCGATCTTGGTCCTCCTATTTCGCAAGTATGATCAAACCCAACACTGATTTTCTTCGAATTCGAATCCATAACTTGCCTAATGGTTTCAATCTCTTAGACCCTATTGCTGTTTTAGTATTATTAGTTACAAACACCATAGCAATGACTGGAACCAAAAGAACTTCATGTTTGAATTGGATCAGCTCTTTGATCAGTATTTTGATTATATTTTTCATTATTATTGTTGGGTTTGTTCATTCCAATCCCTCAAATTTAGTCCCTTTTTTCCCATTTGGGGCTCAAGGGGTTTTCCAAGCTGCGGCAATCGTGTACTGGTCTTACACCGGTTTCGACATGGTTGCAACCATGGCCGAAGAAACCAAGAAACCGTCTCGAGATATACCATTGGGTTTGGTTGGATCCATGTCAATCATCACAATTTTGTATTGCTTGATGGCATTGGCATTGACAATGATGGTTAAATATACTGAGATTGATGTAAATGCAGCCTATTCGGTTGCATTTGATAGAATTGGCATGAAATGGGCTAAGTACTTGGTCAGCATTTGTGCTCTGAAGGGAATGACTACGAGTTTGCTAGTTGGATCTATGGGACAAGCTCGATACACGACTCAGATTGCTCGAGCACATATGATCCCACCTTGGTTCGCTCTGGTTCACCCCAAAACTGGGACTCCTATCTATGCTACCCTTTTGGTAACCATAATAAGCTGCATTGTTGCCTTTTTCTCGAGTTTGGATGTGTTGTCGAGTGTTCTCTCGTTTAGTACACTCTTCATTTTCATGCTTATGGCAGTTGCGTTGCTTGTGAGGCGATACTATGTGAAGGATGTTACTCCGAAGAGCAATTTGGTTAAATTTATTGCTTGCTTGTTTGTTATTATTGGTTCATCGATTGGAATTGCAGCGCTTTGGGGTTCAAATAGGAGGGGGTGGATTGAGTACACAGTGGTTGGTTTGTTTTGGTTTTTAGGCACATTGGGGATGATGTTTCTTCCAAAGCAGAGAGTTCCAAAGGTGTGGGGCGTTCCACTCGTTCCATGGTTGCCATCTTTGTCGATTGGGATGAATTTGTTTCTGATTGGATCGCTCGGTTGGGTGGCATTCTTGAGGTTCTTCATATGCAGTGCAGTAATGCTAGTTTACTATCTACTAGTTGGTGTCCACGCAACTTACGATGTGGCTCATCAAAATCAACAAGAATCGAAACTTGGAAAAGGAAATGTTGCAAATCAAGCAATAGAGCATTCATAGTTTTTCTTACATTCTGATATTATAGTTGACATTGCCTAGGATGAAACAAGAGTATATTTCTGTGGTCTTATATCAATTTTTTTATTTTTCATTTTTTGTTTGATTAGCATCAATTTTCTGATTTTGTTCTTCTTAGCTATACAAGGTTTGGATAATAAATACCCAAGTCTTGTTTCTCGTTTTAGACTGATTAGTTTGGTTCTGGGCATCTTTGTGAAAAATAAATGATGAATTTATTACTCACAACAAAGGATCACAGTTACGTTCTTTTCTGTTTCGTCATCTGTATTGTGGCAGTGCTGGTTTAACTTATGTTGTTAGATTTGGAAGCAACTCATTCCCATGTGGCTAATCAAAATCAACTGATAGAATTGAAATTTGATTATGGAAATGTTAAGCTACCCGAGGTAGGAAAATTAAATTGGAACTGATCTGAGGCCAAGTTGACCGGGCCGGCACGATTCCATTGGGTGAGACCGACTAGCACCACGTGGCGCTGGGTGCCGGTCAGCAACCTGCGGTGGTCAAAGCCTAATTAAAGAAGAAAGTCAGCATATATAGGGAGGCAATAATGCTAGGGATTTGCTTTGCTCGTCTCTTGGGATTATGTCTATTAATTCACTGTTATTCACTCAAGGTAGTGAATTTTTATTGACTTATGTGTCTGAGAATGAAAACTCAGTGAAAATTTTGTAATTTTTTATTTGAAATTTCATACACATCATGGTTTTGTTAGATAGATTTTGATGAAAGAATTCTAAAAAATATAAATTTTACGAAAAATGAAGATGTAGATCAAAAGTGAATTTTTTAAGTTTTATAGCTGTGTGTTGATTGTGTTGGCTGATATTAAACCTTATCAGTAAGGGTATATTAGTCGAAAGTAAGGCTTCGAAAACATAATGTCTATAATTACCAAGTATTATTTTTTTATCCTTAAATTAAGATAAACTTGTAATTGGGGAGTTATGTTCAATTCTCCTGTAAATAAATTTTCAATATGAACACTCGAGAATAAAATTTTAAATTGAATGGACTCACTTTTTATAATAAGCCCAATAATTTTTCAAAATTGCCTTGTGATGATGGAGTTGTTTGTCGCAATTTAAATGAGACGATTTTAATTTCAGAGTTTGTGTTAGACTATTTTGTATAATTTTCATTTATAACTTATTAGATGTAATTGGAAAAAAAAAAAAAAATTGCTTATTTAAAATTGAGAGAGATATTTTTAATTTTCACCTTTTTATCATGAACTTTTAATTTATAATAAATTATACCAAACTGGCCAGATGTAAGGTTGAGCACTGAACTGAACTTAATGCAGGTCTCAAAACTTCAGGGCTTATGCAGGCTCACTATTTCTCCATTATCTCGCCTACATTAGCATGAGCTGCTATCAATTATGGGACTGGACCAAATTTGTTATTTTTGTAACGTTCTTTAGGTTTGAGGGGGGTCTCAAGAACCCAAAAAAATAATAATAATAGTTAATTTTTTTTATTTATTACGAAAAAATGTGCAAAATATAAAAAGTTGATGATGTAATGCTAGAGGTATTAAATTTCCTATTAAATAAATAACAAAATGTCTCATATGGGTGTAGAGTCAACAAAAATGTGAGGTTCACACTAATGTAAGACATTTGGTTATTTATTTGGTAGAAAATTTGAAACCTATAGCATTTTTCAAGATGAAGTGACTCGAATAAGTCAATAAGTTGACTTTTTTGACACTTCCCAAGAGAGGCTTTAATATATATATATATATATATATTTGGGTTAATTATTCATAAGTCTTATTTGTAAGATTGGTCCTCCATTAAGTTTTACGTCATTATTTTTAATCAATAAGGTCCTATTAGGAATGGCAACAGGCAGGGGCGGAGTCGGGGATCACACTCCCCGTCCCCGATCCCCGATGGTAGAAATTTTCCCGTCCCTGATCCCCGATCCCCGACGGGGAGCCTATCACCGCCCCCATCACCGGCCCCTAACGGGGATCGGGTTTCCCCGACCCCGAGAATTCCCCGGCCAAAAAAAGAAAAAAAAATGCACGGATCTGAGCTCGAATATACATATATTCATCATCAACAACAACAATATGTATTCATCAACAACAATCATCTGTTCATCATCATCAAAGATCTGAGCTCAAAATGTAAAAAATAAAAAATAAAAAGAGAGTGAGAAATCTGATCTGATCTGATCTGATCTCCCTTCAACATGGTTTCCACTCAAATAAAGCATTTTCAATGACCCAAACTGAGAAATCTGATATGGAATTGGACCCCAAATGAGATTGTTGTTGAGATTTAGAGTCTCCAGAGACCTACTGAGCTCAAAATGTACAGATCGTCGTGATGGAGGGACGACGGCGCTGCAGCTACGCAGATCGCTGTGATGGAGGGACGACCGCGCTGCAGTTGCGCAGATCGCCGTGATGGAAGGACGATGGCGCTGGGGCGGAGGGGGGGTCGAGACCAGCGGTGGTGGTGGTGTCACCGTGTGTCGGTGACTATGAGAGAGAGAGTTGACAGAGAGACAAGAGACAGTGATGGAGAGAAGAACGAGACACATAGAGAGTTGAGAGAGTAAGATGAGAGTCAGAGTGAAAGAGTGAGATGAGAGAGAAATATATAATTATAATACAACTAATAGGTAGTTGTGGACGCGCCCTCGGGCTTTATGCCACCACAGTTCGGACTCCCTTTTGTGTCACGGTTCTTAGTCTGAACCAAAGACTCCAAATTCGGCAAATCGTTTTCAGAAAACAGATTTTTAGAAAAGAAGTGTCAAACATGGACTGCTTTGTCAGATACAGAGTCGCCACCTAAATATTTTTTAATGGGGGAATTTAGGAAACCCTGACTCGTCTGCCTAAGGTCACGTGTCCGTCATTACCAAAGTTGCCTCGGCTCGGGAACTTGGGTACGATTGGGGAAGGTCAGCTATGAGCACCCCCTCTCGTCCGATCCGAAGATCGGCCTCTACTAACCATGATATCCAATTTTGAAAACGTTATGTGTTCTTATACCGGTTATTAGCCTAGAATTACTATGTGATGCGCACGGCAAGACAAGTATAGACTAAATTGCCTAAGTCGGAACGAAGCATCGTATTTCTGTTTGTTTGGAAAATGGTTTGAATTTTGCTACTCGCAAGTAGACTAAAATACGGATTTCAATGAATTATCCCAACTCAAACAATCCAACCTTCACCCACAGGCATTCAGGCAGTTCATATCACATAAGTATCTAGCCACATGGTAAGCATGCTATCATGTTAACATCCACACTCATACGAGATGCTAAAGCATAAAAGCTTACCGAGTACTCCAAGCCAAAACAAGAAACTAGTTAGTAATCATGCATGACCCTAATTAATGCTTAAGATGGCTAATGCAACAAATGCAAAATGCAACTAGAAATAGGCTCGGCTATTCTAAGAATGACATGTGAGATGTTACAACTAACACGTATTCAACTTGGAATTGAAATACAATGCAGTTAGAATGATGCGCCGAGCCCGGTGCATGCAAAACGAATGAATGCATGCAAACATGCTATCATACTGTATGCTAATTGAAACATGCCCTAGACTAACCATCGAAAGCTAGTAAATAAAAGGGAAGAAAGACGTGGGGTTGGGAGACATACACACACTCACGCACACTTATTACGCAATTGCCCTCACTCGGAGGGTCTGAATAAATATTACACAACCAAATGAATACCGCTAAATTAATTATTACAGAATTCCTAACTAATTAACAAATTAAATGCAGAAGGAAGGTGGCCGCAGCCCTGCCTCGGAATGTGTGAATGATGCATGCTTGACTCGTCTCGCCCGGAAACCCGCTACCATAGCACTGCTGCCTCTGTTTTCACTGCCTTGCTCCTCTGAAAATTCTGAAAGTCTCCAGACCCCTTTTGAATCATCCTCTGAGTGCTCTGGGATGTCACCGGCCAGAACTAAAGTTCACCGGCCATGGTAATGGGCTTACCAGCCAATTGTTGTACCACCGGCCAGCTACTGATGGTTGGTCGGCACTGTAGGTGGCCGGCCGGCCATTGCTTCCTGCAGAATCCTGCAATTGACAGCAGTAGAGGGCAAGCAGCGTATGGCATGGAATTTTCAAGCAAATGTGAGCATGGCCACACTCCCTATCATGCAATGGACTCAAGGGAGCATGGCCCTCGACCCCCGGGCCATCAACTACGCAATTCGATGCATGGTGGCCTAAGAAGCCGAGTTAGCAACTTAATGTAGATGCATGCAACAAACAAATGAGTTCTAACACCCTATCATGTTGAGATCAAGGGTATTGGCGACCGAGGGTTGAGACGTGTTTCGTCACTTCGGGTACGAACACACCTCTCCCCTCATACTTGGTTTGACACCCTAAACTAAGCGATGCAATGCATGTATGCCATATACAATGCAAACTGATGCAATTCATGCAAGGCTACACTAATGCAATATGAACATGTCAAGCATACAACAAGACTATATAATGCAACTTAGCTAAGTAACATGCAAACATGATGCAATATAAGCATGCAACCAATGCAATGCAATCATGTCAAACATGCAAAGTATGCAAGGATGGACTTATACTGAAATGAGAAGGCCTCAGCCCACCCCAAAACAGTGGCCAAAAATGCCCAAAATGAAGGTGCCAACATGCAAAACAAATATGCAAACCAAAGGGACTAAAGCTAAGGCATGGAAGGCAATTTTTAAGAGCACCCAAAAAAAGGGTAAGCATGGATATCAAGACCTACAAAATCAGAGATATGGCATGGTAGAATAAGCCCCAAAACCCACATAAATGGCATCCCAAATGACTCAAGCAAAGAGGCATACACCAAAGCCAAAACATGGAGCATAAGACTACACCTCTTTAAGGCATTGAAAGGAGAACAAATCCAAGTATGCATGCATCAAACATGGACTGAAATGGCATGGCAAATGATTCCAAATCACCGAAAATAGACCAAATGAGGCATACTTATGGCTTACACACTCAAGGCTCACAAGCCAAAACACATAGAAACTATACCAAACATGGCAAACATGGGCAAATCAACACCCAACAGTCCTTGATCATGGCAAAATAATTCTAAAACCTTCATGAAGTTAAGCTAGAACATGCAAGCATCATGGCTTAAATTTAAGGCACATTTCTAGGCAAAATGGGGGAATGCAAGGCAAGTACAATATGCATGTAAAGGGCCATAAATC